ATATATATACATATATATATATATATATATATATATATATGTGTGTGTGTGTGTACACAAATACACTTTTACTTATGCATATATAAATACGATGCGCATCACATATACAATGGTATAAAATCACACACACGCAGTTATACACACGCATATATATATATATATATATATACATCCATACGTACTCATACACATACACAAAGGCATACTCTAAAAGAAGAAACGATGAAAAAACGTATACAACAAAATTTGTTCCCACAATGATGTGAACTGTGTGGACGATTACGTAGTTATACAGACGAACGCTGCCGAATTGTGAATTGTGCACAAGTGTTGGTGCGTAGTACCAGGCACACTATACCTAAATAAACTGAAAAATCCCCGTTGCTGTACGTATATACGTGTGTGCTTAAGAGGCCCCGCTTCGAATTATTCGGTCATTCGGCTATTGTATTGCTTTATTTCACAAATGTTCGTATGCTTGTATCATATTTTCTTTAATTCTTCTCTACTCTCTGTAAGAGAATGTGTGTTTGCATTGTTGTTGTTGTTTTTGTTATTATTATTATTATTATTATTATTATTATTATTATTGTTGTTGTTGTTGCTGTTATTGTTATTGTTGGTTTTTCTTGCTTTTGTGCTTGAATTTTAGTATTAACTTCGTTTATACCGACAATATTTTCATCGACGTCGTCATTGGCAGCTTTATATACAATGTCGAAACCAAAAAATAATAATAATATCAGCTATAAAAAAAAAAATAAAAAAATAAAATAAATAATACACACCCGCCTTCTCATCATTTACATTGCAAACAACACATTAAAATATTCTCTCGTTTGTATTGGAGGTTTGCGGGCTTTTTATATATTTATATATATATATATATATATATATATATTATATATATATATTCTATATAGGGGTTACTATGGATTTTTTGGAGACATTTTCAGTTTATAAAAGACCCTAAAAATCATATTATATTCCTGATCGGTTTTCGGAAGTAGATCGATTTAGTTACGCTAGGGTCGTTTTGCTCTCTTATGAGATTAAAACTTAATTCGCATCTTACGAGGCCTACACTATGTGACATTCAAGAAAATATGGAAGAACTCGTTCAAAATAACAACAATAAGGCAATTATTTTCGGATTGAGGCCATTAATAGATCGCTAGATGCCCGCAAACAAAATACAAAATACATTCGTAAATCTGGACGTGCTTGATTGTCAATCAATCATCATTTCTAAGCTTGAGATTTTTTCTCGGACGTTCCATATTTTTGATTTTATATATGCTATATTTAGAATTATTGCTTACTTACGGGCTACTCGTGTTATTCTACAATTTCAAGGCGTAATGCTTACGTTAGATTACATCGTTACATTTACTTCCTATACTGTGTCACTTATTAAAAATGTAAGTGAAATGCAAATGCATGTGATGGGTATGAAAAGATTCGGTTTAAATTGAAAATAATGTCTTTATTTTATTTACTGTGTAATTTCATTATTATTATTATTATTATTATTATTATTATTATTATTGTTGTTGTTGTTGTTCTTTCGACGCATTCATTGCGCAAAATTAATTTACAAAAGTAAAAGACTTTCTTTAATATAATTACAAAATACAAGCATTTACCTTAGTTACGCACGTGTGTATGTATACAAAAACATATCTTTCATTTAACTTATTTTGAAAAAAAAAAAAAAAATAAATAAAAATAAAAACATATCAAGAAGAATGAAAGTATATACATATATATAAAATGTTACCGAAAAGTTCAACAAAAAAAAAAAAAAAATCAATAAATTATTTTATATTTCCTTAATATTATACATACTATATATATATAAATACATATATACATATATACATATATCTATTATGTGTACACATACTACAAACCTTGGCTCTATCCCTGTTTCGTGTTCCTCACAAGTTTAGTGGCAGGCTAAGCGAAGGAAAAATTCATATAAATCATTGATGAAAGAATTTTCATATATATCATAGACAAGAAGCGATTTTACTTACTCTTCTAATCAAATTTGGTTTTTTGTTTTGTTTTGTTTTGTTTTTTTTTCGTTTTTTTTTTTTTGTTTGAAAAGTCAGTTTTTAATGGAAAGAGAATTTACTTCTTGTACACATAATTGCAAAGAGAAATTTGTTGTTGTTATTCTTAGAAGCGCCTTTCTTGTTTTCGATATATCCAATTATCGAATAAAGTTCTATACTTTTCAAAATTGAATTGTAATTTCTCTCTGACTCTTGAATCCAAATTTCAATAAAATAGCAGAAAGAAGTCCATGAAATAAAGGTCGATGAGGTAAAAGCAACAAGCAGGAATCGTTTCAAAAACTCATTCTCATTCGTGATCGTAAGTTATGATTGAAATAATGACTCTAATTAAACGCATTTGTGTATTGTCTTGTATTCATATACGCGGCGCACAGGAACGATTAAATGTTTGTTGCACTTAACCAATATATTTATTTTCAATTAGAATGAATATCTTGTGGTAAGTATTCTAATAGGGTACAAATATCTTGTTACATAGAAGAGCATATCGAATATATTCATAAACATTAACTTTTAGAGTTTTATGTTTATCCTAAATGATAAGAACGTTGAAGGCGAGTTGAAAGTGCTTCGAAAATCTTCTTCATTCGTTTTTGGATTGAAATTTTACATTAAGCTTGAGATCAAAATCGATTTAACTATACACTTCTGCATTGGACACTTGGATGACCTATTGCTATTGCTCTTGTTTGGCATTATTTTCCAAATTCAGCTAAGTTTTGTCATGCGTTCGTTTTCTTTTAATTTTTTCAACGAATCGAATGAAACGATATACATACATACATACATACATAGGTGCGTAGAATCGTTCGCGTTAACCTTTCATTTTGATAACAATGTCACACTTACATACAACTTCCCCGTAAAACTACAAGAAGAAGAAAAAGAAGGTATTACACGTTTACTCTCCGAAATTAGCCGAATATCCCTGATAGGAGAAGATCTTTCCTCTTCTTCTTTTTCTTCTTTGCGCTTACTGTAATAAATCCTCTATATATATATATATATATATATAAAATTTTGTGTCGTTTCAATTTGTTTACCGTTAGCCATTTATTTGTAAAAATTTTTGTAAATAATTTCTTTGTCAGAAAACTTCAATACATGCTTGCATACATACATATATATATATATATATATATATATATATACATTCGTATACGAATAATGTGATCTTTCGAAAACAGGTTTTCTGTTTACCAATAACTAGAATTCCCCGTTGGATTTGTATTTATTTATTTATTTTTTTTTAAATACCTTTTGTCGCCATATATATACTCATATTTCATTTTCCATTACTTTCGATATAATCTTTTCATTTATGCAAAAGGGCCGTTATATGTACATATTTGATATATAACGCCAAAACCAGCAGTAGCCATAATTAAATTTTGTAAAAGAAAGAAAATATTAGCAATAGAAAAATTTAATTGAATATTGTACATACATATAGCTATGTATGTAGAGTAAAAAAAAAAAAAAAAAAAAAAACACTCATATGAACAGATTTTACAATAACAGCAACAACAATAGCAACAACAACGGCAAAATTAACAATAACGATAAAAAGTGTAAGAAGGAAAAGGGGAAAGTGTGAGAGAGAGACAGAGAGAGAGAGAGAGAGAGAGAGAGAGGGAGAGAGAGAGAGAGAGAAAAAAAAAGAAAGAAAGAATAGAAGAGCACCGCACATTGTTTGATAATATAAATTTAATTTCTAAACTAGAAAGAAATTCGCAAACAACATGTTATTGAGAAAAAAGAAAGGAAAACGAAAGAAATTAATTTTTCATAGTGTGGAAAAATCGTTTTCATTTAATGATTAGAAGGGTGGATGAGGAATAGCAAGGGTACACCTGTCTATTTATGTATGCGAGCTTATAATAAATAAATATTCTGGGTATTATATAAGTATATACACAATATTACGAACACACTCCACACTTT